GCTCTGGGATCATGTCCATGTCACCGTTGACGTCGATGATTTCTGTTGTGCGCCACAGGCAACTGAGTTGGAGCTGGAGTTGCAGTTGGGCTGAAGGACACACGAATGCTTTTAGTTGTATGGCTGCCAAGTGCAGCGCAGCTGCTGCAGCGTCAGCTCCGACCGGAAATGCGAACGAACAGCAAGAGTAACAACAACAAGGACTGGCAAACAATGACAAGTTCTCACAGCAACAACAACAACAACAATAACTACAAAAACAATTGCTGGGTTAAGCGTCGTCTGGCCACCTAAGGCGAATGTCCTGTTTTCAACTGCTATTTGCTGCTGTTGCTGTTGCAGTTGCTGTTGCAGTTGCAGTTGCTGCTGCAGTTGCTGCTGCTCACGTTCAGTGCGAACTTTGCTGACAGATAATTGCGTTGCACTGTGCGGTGTGTGTGTGTGTGTGTGTGTGTGTGTGTGTGTGTGTTGGTGTGTGTGTGTGTGTGTGTGTGTGTGTGTGTGTGTGTGTGTATAACCATTGCTATTTCCGCTTTGCACTAATCTGCGCCCATGGCGGCCAAATGTCATTCATTTTATTTTTCTGTGACATTTTCCGATTAAATGTGAATTTGCTGATGCTGCCAAGTTCTGCTGCTGCTGCTGCTGCCTATGCACAAGTTTTGCAGTTTACACTTGGCTCGTTTGTCCTTGAAAGATTGCTGTGCCTCAACAACAATAAGACACAAAACAAATGGGCGTGTCGACACAAAACACTGCGATAAGAGCAGCTTGCCACACTTTTTCATCATCGTCTTTTTTTTTTGTGAATACTTTTTTTTTGTTGTGTTAATGTTTGCTCAATTTTAAAAGTTTTCTATCGCAATTTGCATTCGCACGCACATTCGCACTTGCCTCTGACCGTGCAACAGCAGCAACAACAAAAAGTCAATAGGCGGCGCCGTTAGGGGCGTCGGCAGAGGCGCTGCCAAGTGGCAAAGTCAAAATATATTTGCATACGCACCGTGGTACGAGCTGAAACGATGTTGAAGCAAAAGTTTCCCCATCTGTATTTAGTATATATATATATATATATATATAAATATTATATATATATATTTTGTTGTTGCCCGAAAACTTTAAGTTTTTTGTTTTTCAGTTATAATTTGGTAACACAGGGAAGAGCGTTGCCTCTAATTGTTGGTCCTTGTACAATGATTTTGCTGTTTGTTCAACGTATTTTTTTTCATTTCTTTTGTTTTTATTTATTTTTTTTTGTTGCCTCGCCTCATTTTGTTTAAACTTGTTTTGTTGAAGCATGCAATTTGATTAGTTGCGCAATTGAGCAAATGAGCTGGGCGTGGCCAGTTTAATTTACATATGCCACAGCTCAACTAACTTGTCAATTGAATTGTTTAAACTGCTGAATTTGAGGCACACATTAAAGCATCCACAATTCATGTGATCAAATATTTATAGCTCCTATTAACGATGCTTGACTATAAAAAGTAAGCACAGAGCGATTAATCGAATATGTACATCTAAAGGTCTCCAGAGAATAAAAGATAAGATGGAAAAATGTTAAAGTATTTTTGCATTTACTTCTCATTTACATTTGACTATCGGAAGTATGTCTTTAATAATCATTTATAAATTCAAGAGTCGGACTTATATTCAACTAAAATCTGTACATTACAATGATTACTAATTACTTTCTGACATTTCAACGTACTCTATTAATACCTTAGTTGAGTATTTGATTGGCTTCCACGTCGACTAGCCAAAGCATTGTTCTGCCTCCTGTCCAACTCACAACTTAAGAAGGCACAATGTAAATAACACAAGGCTACTCTGATATGTTTTCTTGTGTTCAATACAAGCCATGGAATCCAAATCAATAAATTGCAATCGGCCATGCGTAATATTTGCCAAAGTCTAGACTAAATCGTAGGTGAATTTCATATGCAGATGGTAATTAATTATCCCACTCAAATGCTCCTCAAAGGAATGGGCTTATTTTTCGTTATTTTCGGTAGCATTCAATTGAAAATAAATCGAGCGACAATTCAAATTGACTGCTTTTTCATGTCAGTGTTAATTTTTAATGTCTTGCATAAATAATGCCAAAATAACTTCAATAATGTCTAGGTATGAGCCAAACATTTTAAAATTCTCGAATTGTGAGTTTGTGTTGAATTCCCTTGGAATTTGAATTAAAATACAAAAAAAAAGATTACTTTTCAATTTTTATTCTATTTACCAAAAGCTGCATCCATGAAAAATGAGTAAAGAAAAATATTTACAAATTGTCGATTTGTGTTTAACAGGTAAAGCAAACATTTCCGTTTGCTGAATGTATATATGCACATATATATTTTTGATCAGGCCAACATCTCCCTTTATTCATTTATAAATTGTATTTTTGGTATTCTGCTTCTTTTATTTATTGTTTCTGTATATCCTCTAGGTAATTTAAAAAGTTTATAACGATAATTTATTGTTATTCAGCAATCCAGATTATAAAGTTTGTAGAACATTTTATTTATTATTATTTTAAGAGATGTAAACTCTGTGTGAATCATAACTGAGTTATTTTTAACGACTTTGCTGAATGAAAATGAAAAATACTTAAAATCTGTTTGGAGTACTCTGTTTTGTTTTAAATCAATTTCATTATGCACCTAACGAAAATTCATTACTTGAGCAGAATGGCAATCACAAATATTGTTGGTTGAAGCACAAATAAATCCAATTACGGCCCAAATGCTGAGCATCCAATGGTCAACTGGAGCCAGCTGCCAACTGCGAACTGCAACTGCTAACTGATTTTATTGACCTGATTTCCGTTAACTGCCAAATAGTAATACAGGCTTAACAGTCGTATAATATGCAACCGTATCAAGCTGTGCAACTGCAACTGGCAGTTCATTCTGAGTACTTATATCGATATGTATATCCCAAATTATAAGCATACTGGATTGTGGTTGTTGTATTTGGGTCTCCATATCAATGAGGACATCAGTTAATTGATTTGCTTTACGACATGTAGCTGCAGTATTTCTTTGCTAGATCCTATCATAATATTTTTTTAATATTCTGCAACAATTTCAAATACTTTGTACCGTCGCATTTTGGCAATTGGCCATTAAAGAAGCTTTGCCATTTGTGGCCCACTGTGCCACATTTATGAATATATCAACGAGACCAGCCAGTGTATAGTAGTAGTGGTAGTAGCGTCTGCCACTGCGGATCTCTTCAAGTGAGTGTATGAATCTGTGAGTGAGTGTGTGGTTGCGAGTGTGAGTGTGCTCATAAGGCTGCACAAATAAAAATGTCGACGATTGTTTGGCTCCACGAGTAAACTGCCACACACACACGCAGAGAGACTCGCACACTCAGACAACACACACTTTGGCATGTGGCTGGCAAAAATCAGTTGAATTGCCAGCCAACGAAACGAAACGAAACGAAACGTTAGAGGTCGAGCAGGATGAGGGGCACGACAGGACGCGGAGGTGAGGAACGAAGCCTGAACCGGGCGCATCCAATGCAATTGCGCTGCCAACTGCTGCACTGGCACAGGAAATATTATCCGCATTGGCAGAAGCATCTTAGCCAAGTCAGAGAGAAAAATTGAAAGAGAGTCAGCCAGCAAAGAGTGATAGATGGCGCGAGAGAGAAAGAGTATAAGAGATAGAGTGTTGGTGGGGGGGATCAATGAATGAGTTTGAGGGTTTGCCAAGGGAGTGCCGCCAGACAATGGCGAGGGGAGTGATGAAAGGGGGGGCGCAGGACCAGGCGCAAAAGCGTCCAAGTGAATTTCACAAATACAAATTCAAATGGCAAATTGACAAATGAAGCTTCAGAGTGCTTTACATTTTCATTGTGTGTCTATCTGTGTGTGTGTGTGTGTGTGTGTATCTGTGTGCATGTATGTGTGTGTAGGTGGGTAATTCAGCAGTTTGCAGTTTTATTTCATTTACTTTTTTTACTTTCTGCTTCTGCAGTACGAGGCGAATTTCAACTTGCCCCATTTCCACACTCCCCACTTTGAAGCGTTAACAAAACAAAAAAAAAAAAAAAGTCCGAATCCGACAGGCTTTTGATGCTGATTTTGTAAAGATGCCTTTGCCATTCGAGTGGGTAACTGAGGGATGCTTGGTGCGCCTGGTGCGCATTGTTGCTCTGTTGTCCATTCAACGGACCTTCACCCGCACCCTACTCAAAACCGAACCCAAGATGAACAACAAACTACAAATTGTTGTTGATGAGCGATTTTAAAGCTACTGCTAAAGGCTGATCCCATTTTCCCATTTTCCCATTGGCCATTGTTTGCCATTCCATTTACAGGCCGTGGTTCGGTAAATTGAGATTACCAATGAGCCAACTAAAATTACAATCAAAACAACAACAACAGCGGTAGCGGCAACTAAACAATGCATACTGTTCCCAAAAGTAGTCTCTGAGAAAAAGCCGATTTCGTTTAGTTTACATTTTACTTTAAGAAGAAGCTTTGAATCAAAAACTTTTCGTAATCGAAACTGTGTGCGGTTCAGTTTGGCCAAAATCGTTGGTTTTTCCTCTTTGTGCCGTCAAAGTTTTTGATGTAAAACGACAAGAAAAAGCCGTCTTAAAGTTGAGGAAATTCATTTTAGTGGAAAAGGAAAGGATTGCAAATTTAAATCAATAAATCGTCGATAGAGTGGAATGAATATAAAGATAAATAAATGAATATTTAGATAAAGAATTTGGAGCAAAATAAAACATGGTAACAATAATTAATGGGTTGAAAATATTTCTGAAACATAAAAACATATATAAATTAGCAGCAATTTATTGTTGACAATAAGTCGATTGCAATTGATTCTATTATTGATAACGTTATAAATATTCATCAAATTTAATGCACTTAAAAGGAGTTTCCCTTAAGCAAATAATACGGAACTTTTTTAAAACTCTTCGCTTTGCATAAGAAAATATTGCTTAATGATGGATTTTTTCTCGCTTATTTTTCCTTTTAGTTCGGCAACACTTGTTAAGCCTCTGATGTGACTGGAAAGAGGGGGAAGGCGAAAACGCTGGTGACAGAGTGTGTGTAGTGGAGCGAAAAAATAAAATTCACAAAAACAATATTCAATAAGAATCTGTCGCAGTCGAGTGCAACGAGAATTTGCCTTTGTGCCAAAGTGCCGGGTAATATGTAATGGATCCCTTTTTCGCCAGCGACGGCAACATGATGTGAAACATGGCAATCGAATCAGCTAAAGCCATTTAGAGTCATCAATTGGCGAGGTCGCGGTGCAGGCACGCTACCAGATCTGCTGGCCAGGCAAAGAGGGGGCAAGACAAACGCACAGCATGGCAGCCAAATGGAGAAGCAGAAGAGGCAACAGGAGCAGCAGTAACAGCAGTAACAGCAGTAGGAGCAGAAATGAGAGCATCCGACTGCCAGGTAAAACAAAAGATTGAACCTAAGGTCGTCAATCATTACTTTTTGTGTGTTTGTGCCAACCTTTGTTTCGCTCTCTCCTCCTCCAATCCACAATGCTGACTTTTTCTATTTGTGTTTGCAGTGTGGAAGCATCTGCTTTGGCTTCTGTGCCTGACGGCTCTTCTCGGCTGGGTGTGGGCCGATGACTGGTCGCAGAGCTGCGCCTCCAACTGTACCTGCAAGTGGACCAATGGCAAAAAGTCGGCCATATGCAGCTCGCTGCAATTGACTAGCATACCGACAACGTTGAGCACCGAGCTGCAGGTCCTGGTGCTTAACGATAATCACATACCATATCTGAATCGGGAGGAGTTCTCTTCACTGGGTCTCCTCAATTTGCAGCGCATTTATCTGAAAAAATCCGAGGTCCAATACATACACAAGGAAAGCTTTCGCAATCTGAAGATACTTGTAGAAATTGATCTGTCCGACAATAAGTTAGAGATGCTCGATAAGGATACATTCATGGGCAACGATCGACTGCGTATACTCTATCTCAATGGGAATCCGCTGAAGCGCTTGTCAGCCTATCAGTTTCCCATATTACCGCATCTACGGACTCTAGACATGCACAACTGTTTGATCTCCTACATAGATCCCATGTCGCTGGCCAATCTCAATCTGTTGGAGTTCTTGAATCTCAAGAACAATCTGCTGGAGAGCTTGAGTGAGTATGTGTTCCAGCACATGGGCAATCTGAAAACGCTGTCTCTGGAGGAGAACCCCTGGCAATGCAACTGCAAGCTGCGTAAATTTCGCAGCTGGTATGTCAGCAGTCGCCTCAGCTCCGTGAGTCTGGTGTGCAAGGGCCCGCCCGTGCAGAAGGATCGCACCTGGGACAGTGTCGATGATGAGCTCTTCGGGTGTCCGCCACGCGTCGAGATCTTTAATAATGAGGAGGCCACCAACATTGATATTGGCAGCAATACAACCTTTAGCTGTCTGGTCTACGGGGATCCATTGCCCGAGGTCAGTTGGGAGCTGAATGGCAAAATTCTGGACAATGACAATGTGCTCTTCGATGTGGAGAGCATTGCATCCGATAAGTTGTGGAGCAATCTGACGGTGTTCAATGTGAGCAGCCTGGATGCGGGCACATATGCCTGTACGGGCAGCAATCTGATTGGATCGATGACGCAGAACATTAGCATTTACCTCAGCGAGATTGTGCAGCATGTGCTGGTAAAGACACCGGAAACATTCTGGTATTTCGGCCTGATCATGGGCATCTTTGGCACTGTCTTTCTCCTCATCGCCATCTCGTTTGTGGTCTGTCTGTGCAAGCGGACAACGCGACAGCATCGGCATGCCAATAAGGCTGGCGTCAAGTCGAGCGTCAGTTTCAATGATCAGGAGAAGAAGCTGCTCGATTCGAGTGTGACAACGACGACCAATGATCGTGGCGACAGCTATGGCATCGACAACAATCCCAGCTCCATCAACAAGACGGACTCCAGCCTGGGCTTCAATCAAATTGAGATACATGCGGTCGAGAATCATCGACAGCAGCAGCAGCAGCAACAGGGTGGACAGGGTCAGGGGCAGGCTGGTCAGCATATGCGCCAGCAACTGATGACTGTCAAGGATCCCACATGCGGACTGATCTCGGTGCCCACATCAATGGCCAGCTATCAGCACCAGCATCAGCATCAGCATCAGTTGCAGCATCCGGGACAGCACACACACTCCCATTCTCATGGACATGCACAGCTGTCGGAGGAGTTTCCGTTGAATGTGGGTGTCTTTCCACCGCCGCCGGAGTTCTGCTCCAACATTGTGCCGAATCCCACCTTTGGCAACATATTCATACGCGTTTCTGTCACGCAGGACATGCTCGATGGCGCCGACATTAATATGTATCCCGATCTGCTGAACATACCCAAGCGCCTGCAGGATGTGCAGTGTGATTCCTCTGTGGCATCAAGTTCGAGTGATGGTGGTAGTGGTAGTCAAACTGTGGCACATTGTGCCACCCTGCCACGTCACACGACGCGTCGAGGCATTCTCAAGAAGGACCCATCGCTGCAGCCCGGCGGTGCAACGAATTTTTATCCACATGACGAGATTGTCACCTACAACCTGGAAACGGGCACCTATCATTGCAGCACCACCAATGAGATGGAATTGCCGCCGCCACCGCCACCGCCAGCCGTCACCGCTGTCGTTCAATGTCATCATCCAACGACGATAGCAACGCCAGTGTCCGCCGCCAATTGTGTCAGTTGCATCAACAATGTGCCATCCTCCTCCTCCGCCTGCAGCACGCCGCCCATTGTCGAGGCAACGCCACTGCGACCATTGTGCAAGAGCAGTGGACCTGGCGATAGCTCGGCGTATCCCAAATACGACAACATGGGACGACGCATCACCGCAAGCGGCGGATTGGGCAACGAGAACGAGACGCTGTTCAGCGAATCCGCCGAACAGCCGAATCCAATGGAGCTGGAGTCCCCCCAAGATGCCCATCAGCAGCTGCAGACGACGGAGCAGTCGGTTGCCATCGACAAGGGTGGCAGTGGCGAGTTTGTGTCCCTCTAGTATTACGGTACTCACGTGTAAATAGCAGCAGCAAGCGCACTAGCGCCACCTGCCGGTCAATAGATTGTGTCCTGCCTCACAGAGCATATACGAAAAAATATAGAGAAAAAATCCACTGTGGCAATCGTTTTGTTCATATCATGTACCAAGCAGCGAATCCCCTTCAAAGTAATATTTTATAATTATAGCATTCAATATGAACAATCTATTGACTGCTGCAGTTTAAGCCGAAACTATATTAAGCTGAATATATATATATATATCTGTATGTACTATATATAATAGCGATCCAAGAGCAATTTATGTAGAATCAAAATCAACAAACAAAAACAAAAAGCCCATGAGAATATGAGAATGGTATGTTAACAACCGCAAACAAAAAAGGATTATTAATAATGATTTTATTACACTCTCATAAGTAGAATATAATTAGTCATATAAATGTAGATTCATGGTAGCCCATTCCTAACATTTAGCCACATTCCACTGGCGAACATTGATGCGAATTCGACAATGATTCACTGTGGAATTCGTCTATAACCTTCAGTAGTAGTTTCAGTCTAATTTGTTAAATGTTTAAAATGCATAGCGTGAACATTGAGCGAAACGATCCTAGACCAAAACTTTCCTTCATAATGTGTAAAAACAAACATTTATGTAAAAAGAATACAACAAATTATAGATATTTATATAGATATACATATATATATATATATGTAAAGAGAATGTATTGATATTGTCGACATATATTCTTACAGAGCTTGACAGTGTTTTTTTATTTTGGTTTTACTTCGGTTGGAAATGATGTTAGTGCTCAACGCCAAAGTTTATAGTGAAACCTTTGCTCATTGTATAATCCTCTGTAGCCACATTGATATATGCATATAGAGTTAGAGATTCTAAGTAATATACCTGATATATATTAAATTATCTATTTTAATGATATACGTATTTAACTTTTAGCCGTGCGATTGCATTTAATGAGGATATTTTATTTATAGATTCAACAATTTAAGTCCTCTTCGATAGGCATTCTATTATTCTGTAAATATGTGTGTGAATTGGCATTTATTTACATGGATTTTAAAATCAACAATTATTTTAATGCCCAGCTCAATATCAGAAACGAAAGCTGAATGCCACAGCTTTTGGTGGTGCCACTTGTTTTAACACTCTGTTTTAAATGTTAAACATAATTGTTATGCCCTTGGGCTGCTTTTAAATTTAATCGGCAGACCTAGACATACATATATACATACGATGCTTCAGTTTTAGATTATTAATGCTCATCCATAACCATAACCAAGCCAAACTTGTTAAGTTTTCGAACTCAAATAGTATTATTATGTTTGTATATTTTATATATTTTAACTGTACATAAATTGATGTAAAAACCATAAACTAAAGTGAAAACATCAATGTGCCATGACATAATTAATTTGGCCAGTCAAAATTTTACTAATTGTAATTGAATATGCATGTACTACCTACAATGTGGGGGGTGTATCAGTATATCATATTATATATTGTATAATGCATAATCGTATACATAGTAGCAGTATACATTTAAAATTTATATATATATATACTTACCAGTACATGTATAGATTAAATGTAACCCGTATATAAGCCAGAAACAACAAATGCAGCATAATAATTTTTGTGTAGTATGTTTACAACTCGAGCTTGATAATATAAATGTAAATTATAAATTCGTAATGTGTAAGTATATAAAACAAATCAACATTTTCATAGCCGCAAGCCCGCATACAATTTTTGTATTCGCATATGTTGTTTTGAGTATGTATGTAAAGCTAATTGTATGTAATATGCATGCCAAAATAAATAAAAAGTTTTCTGCGAGCAAATCATGCAAATTTACAAACATAAATATAAAAGTAAATAAACAAAAAAGAAGAATATATATATATATACGGAAATGAAGAATAACGCAATGAAATCATCAAATACGAAATGCGAATTAAGAAAACATAATAAACAAAATACAGACAAATACATAAACACATATGCAAGCAAATGTTTACACAACTCAGATACACGCCCACTTTTTTGTATATTGTGGCAAGTGCTCGAAAGGGGTTTTTGTTTTTTGGAGCTCTAATATCTGCAGCAGAGTAGCATGCACATGAAAGCATGTAAAAGTATTGCAATTGCACGTTTCACAAACAAACAAAAATGGAAAATATCTTTAAAAAAAAAATGCAAAAAAAAACTAAACAATAGAGATAGAAATATCAGTAAATAGTACATTTTTTCCTTCAGATCTCATAGTTCTCCAAAGTTAATACTTATATTAAACGCCTAGATGCTGCACGATAGTATAAGGTCAGTGTATAGATGACACTTTGATTCGATATTAGTTAATTACAAAAATATATTTTGATTTGTAATTATCAAGTGTATATGTTGCATCGTATTATCTTACCACATGACACTGATTGTATTTTTGCTTGAATTTATGTGACCCTCTGAGGCATGGAACTGATAATCATTTTTGTTCACTTCTTACGCCTCCGCATTTATTTTTGAGACACAAAGTCTTAACAAGTGTCTACTCATTGTTTGAAATGTATCTATGTGATCTCGTAAACAACAAAAGAAGAAGTGTACATATATGTATATGCTATATAACATTAACCATATTAAAATCTTCGTAAAATTTCACTTAAAATAACTCAGATGCGAGGCCATGGAATACCTTTTGAATAGTTTGAACTAATTAAAAAGTGATGTGAACCGCCAGAATGCAAACAAAACTAAACTCTGAAAACATTGAAGCTAAATTTTTAAAAACATACCAAACACACGCACTCACACACATACACACACACACAGATACACACACGACTTTCGCAAAAGACAGCGTTGTGCATGTAACAAATATAATTTTAATTGCTGTGCTTACTATGCTGTACACAGGTACACATACATGAATGCATCTGTGTTCCTGTGTGCGTGTGTGTGTGTGTGGGTGTATCTATGTGTGCTATGCACCATTTATATATGCACTTAAATGGAATCAACTCGAACAAAACGGTTAGGCACATTGCAACCCAATGATGTATACACTGGCCTTTATCAAAGAGTCGGATACAATTACATAAGCCATCCCCTTCCCCTCCCCTGCGCAACCTTGCATGTGCTGCAAAAATAACAGAAGAAAAAATAGTTAAATAAAATCAACCTTGTTTGGATGATGTAATGCAGAAAATAAATAAATTAAAACGAAAAATTATAGTTGCATTTTTTACCTTTACAAATTGCAGTCGATATTTTCATTTTGCCTGCTGTACGATGTCAAACTAATAAACAAGCTACAAATTGGATATATTTTTTTAATAAAGTCGAACCCGATGCCAGAGTCAAGTGATTAAGTTTTATTTTGTTTTATTATTATTTTTTTTAATGCATATTTGGCTTTTAGCTTAAGCTAAGGGCAAACAAAATGTCGAGCAATTTGTATTTAAACTCAAATTTAATTTACAATTTACACGATTTGCACATTTGTTAAGCTTTCATAAAAGAAATGAAAAAGAAAAACAAGCATGACACATTAGCACAGACATAGAGAGGAAAACATGACAGAATATTGCCAAAAATAATAAGTATATGTATGTATAACTAAACACACATGATGATAGCATTATCCTTTGGTATAGATTGTCAAGCTTTACTACACACTATATTAAAATAGATGAAATAATAATAATAATAAAGAACACAAAACAGAAATATGAAATAAATGCAAATGCTGATTTTATTTCTTGCAGCGGACTTTGATCATTAAAACGAAATTTAAAATATCATATTGCAGTTGATTAAGTATATGATTATATATGTACTACATTACTTTGGCCATCATATATTATTGGCAGACTACTTTATAATCCTTTTTAAACGAGTGTTAAATGTTATTTAGGAAATGACATAACTTTATATATTTTCTGGTTTCTCGTAAGTTATATATATATAAATATTTTCTATATTGTTTATTTTCCACATTTCTCGTAACTAGACAATGCGAGGAAGAAAAGGTCAAAGATAAACCTTTGACCTGAAGAAAATATAATGCAACCACAGTCAATCAATTCCAGTTGCTTAGTTTTGAGTTTTTCAATTGCGCTTGCAACTGGCAACTTCCTCGAATCCAGCTAATCTGCATAATTTGGCAGGCAAAGCGTGTGCTTTCGCTCAGCTATCACTTGTTGATCAAACTTTCGACATCAGGACTCGTATCTGGAAATGTGAGCAAATTTCCGTTTGCGTTCGGGTTTATCTATGTATGTGTATCTACCCGCACGCCCCCAATTGCCGCCCCGCAATTCAGTTTGCCATGTTTGTGCACATATTTTGCTGCATTTCCGCGCTTAATCTCCGATGCCGCATCCATGTGGCACTGCTGCAGACCTCACAGAATGTTATAATAATGACTGCACGGAAAGCAGCCGTTGAACAGAGCAGAAAGCAGTAATAACATTTTCATCTTAATGCACTCAAAACACATTTAGTCAAAGTTACCAGCATCTGCCTTGCCTCTGCTCCAAACGCCGTCAGCATCCGGTGCAGCTGCGGTGACTGCGGCATCGCCCAACCTCCAAGTCAGTCAGCCAACACACACACACCCACCCACACACACACATACATACGTTTAGATACGTGTATGGGATAAGGGCGGCAGAAGCCATCAATGGTTTGGCTTCATTTGCCAAAGGCTGCACCGGCTAGAGCATGTGTGCAGTCCGTCCTCCAGAGAATGTGACGCATTGAGCACGTACCGTTAGCAAACCACAAAAACCCATCCCAATATCCACACCCACACGCTCACACACTCCGAGTCACGGCCAAACACTGGCTGCTGCTTCTTGTGCAGTTTTTTTTCTTAACGTTACGAATATAACATTCATTTTTGACAGGCATAATTTGCGGTTGGAACTGCAACCGGTTCCTGGATTCCAGCAACAGCATCAGCGCCATTGGGACGTCAGCTGACACTGTCTTTGTGCTTTGGTTATTTACAGTTCTTATGGAGCAGGCACTTCTCTAATGCAAAAATGATGCACTGCAGCCGTGGTGCTCTGCGGTCAGACGAGCAGCCAGTTGGAGTCGCGTATCAGCCAGCGCCATCAGCAGAACCTCCTGCCACCCGCAATGGCAATGAAAGTTTAGAAACCAATATTTTTACTAGCAGAAGGGGGCCCAGCAGCCCAGCAACAACAATACACAGGCAGCCAGCAAAAATAAATCTGTTTGCCAAACAGTTATTGCACTTGTTTCTGTGCACCGCCCACAGCAGCCAGTCCTGGCAATATATGCCTCCACTTGGCAACCGCTCAATAATTGGCAATGCCCAGCTGGGTACCAAAGTGGACTACACAGCAAAAAAAAACAATGGAAAAAAAACTAATATGCATTAAGAAAATGATTTGAAAATTAATACTTCAGTTTGGGCGGTGTAATTGCTTAAATTGTAATTACAGTTCTCACTAGACTTAATTTCAATCAATAATAAATACAGAAATAGAGTTCTTCGAGTACATCATAAAATACACATCCGCATTCTCGAAACTGAGCCAAACACAAAGCATACTCTTTGGCTGAGTAATAAAATCAACGAGTAAGCCAAGATTTGGGCAAATATAGTTTTTTCAAGCTTACTCTTAGGATGATACAAAAAGACAAGAACAATTAATTTCTCAGCAAAATAACTGTAAAGGAACTATTTCTTTGCATAATGTATAAAATCGGAGAGACCAACTCTCTTGATTGGCATTCTAGCTTGAGGATTTCATTGAAGAGTCAAACAGTTGGTCAAATTCTGTAACATGGCAAATGGAATCGGGTCGAAAATTCAAAGCTCGGAAACTACAAGGATGATTTGGATGACTTTTGACTAGCTCTCCGTTCTTATTACGAGCAGTTCGAATCGATTCACACATAACTCGAAAGAACACGTGAATGAATTAAAGCTATATTTCGGCCATAATCTTGATAGTCCAACAGGACCAATCAATCGAAGCTTAAGTTTTGAAATTTAAGTACGGTAGACTAAGCCTCTTGATAACTGTTTATTTACACGTATAAATCTACGGTAAAAAAAAGTAGATTTACTTCTAAAATGAACCGTAGCATTGCTCAAATAACTGGAACAAAAATCTTCTTTCGAGCAATACAAATTGTATTCCTTATTAAGTGCAAAAGACTAATTTTTTATCGAAAATTGCTTAGATGAAGTGTTAAATTCGAACGCCGCCTAAGTTTGTGAAGTGTATTTTTTGCTTATCTCCGACTGCCTCACTTTGTCGTCCTGGCTGCTGGTGCACTCAGGTGCTGCAAGGCTTTCTATAATTCCCAGCAAAACGACCATGCAAGTGGACTCTTCTCCGGTCGAATAGCAACGGTAAGCTGAATCTGCTTGCGGCTCGAGATCAACAAAATGAAATTCAATATGTTATAAATGGCCGGCATCGCTTTAGGTCCAGCAAACAGCAGCGTGCCATTGTGGCTCAAAACCTTACGCCTGTAGGCCAAAGTGTATACCAATACAGCCAGCTGCCCAAATCCCATGCCCGAGGTTTTTGTTTTCACTATTGATGTTTTATTTTTTATTTTTGTTCAATATTTTGTTCAATATGGTCTATTGCTTAAAGGTGCATTGCACCGCGTTTAGGCCCCATTTTTGCCCTCTCCCCGACTGAGCATTGATTAAAGTGTTTCGTTTGCAAATTTATGTGCCAAATATTAACCCAATTGCTCCCCGAGGAACACTCCCGCAAAAGGAAAAAAGCAAACTTTTTTGCTCGTGTAACACACAAAAAAGAGAAAGAAATGGGGGGCCAAACAACTTTTTTAACAGTTTTGGATTTTGGAATACAAATTATGTTAGTAATCTCCATTTATTGACATGTTTCCACCAGCAGGTACACAAATGCATACATCGCTCGAATATATGTATATACAAATACGTACAAACATATAGGGGTATTTATGCCCAAATAAGGTCGCCTAAGGGCTGCTTAAGTCGACCTTTATGCATGGGGTTCATGTGTGCCAACTTTTGTTCTACGACCATCATTTGCCATGAATATATGGAAACTGCTATATTTAGTACACTTTGCTTGAGTGTGGCTTAAGCATTTCTTTTCTTTTCATTTCTTTCCGACTGTCAAATTGCTTATTGTTTATGGTTAGTGCTGTTTTTCTAACAATATACAAATTAATAAATGTAATGCCAAAATCCGAAAAGAAAAAAAACCAATCATTTCGTTCACATATAATAAATAATTTATTATCTGAGAATGAAAGATAGTTGAGGATGCTTAGTTTAATTGTTTACTATACCTAACTACAGATGCTTAAACTTATAAAAAACTCTCCGCAAATCACAAAGGTACTTTTCATTCTCATTCGTGCCTTTCTTAGTTTTATGCATGTGTGTTTAACAAGCTTGAGACACTAAAACAAATAATTCCGAATGTTATAAGCACAATGTGCCAAACTTAAAAAAAAACTAGAAATCTTAATTTACATATGTGCAAATAATTACATTATTATTTAATTAAACATTCACACACACACACATACATTTACATAAATATGTATTTAATATAATATCATAATCAATGATGAGCAAACAAAAATTCACCACATTGGCCCACAAATTGAGTAAGAGAACGCTTTGATGCAAAGAGAGCCAAACAAAGAGCGTGAGCGTGAGAGTGCGACATCGTATGAAGTGAGCATAAGCGCGGTCAACATCTGACTGATTTGAGCGAGAAGCAATTGAGGCGAATTCATTTTCATTCGTTTTGCCGACGCATTGAGTTTGGTTTCTTTTAGTGCGGTAATTTTCTGCTAAATGTAAAGTAAAATAAACAATATTGAATGTAAAAATCACAGAAGTCAATAGTTGTTATGAATTAACAAAGAAAACGCTGCACCCACGCTGGCCGCATCAATTGGCAACATACTGTGCGACTTCACACGCAGCGCAGTGTGCCTGAAAACCAGAAAGAGATTGGTAAGACGAATGATAATCGTTTGTCTGCATATGTATGTATACCACCTATGCATATGAATGTATGTATGTATATGCATGAGAATACGCAGATACAATATGTTCATACGTACATACATACCTGCATATGCCTATACATAACAAATGTAAATTGTGTTCAATCTTTTTTATCTTTGTGTACATTTTGCAGTTGCACGTAGAAGACGACAGACAGTATAACAGAGTGGCAACCACAACACAAAGAGGCGAGAAAGAAAAGGCAATTGGAAGAAAACTCAATACAACAATGCATATTTCGCTAGTCTGCTAAGAGCAGAAGAACAACACACAAGGCATAAACCATAAACCATAAACCAGAAATCAAAGGCGAACCAAAAACAAACTATTTTCTTCTTCTGCACACACGCGTCGCATCGCATTGCATTGTAATTTGTATGTGAATGTGTATGTGTGTCTCGCTCTGCCGAGCAGCAGATGCACTGAACTCAACAAAGTCCTGGTAAGTTGGCCTTCTTTCGTCTCATATTGATGTATGTACATATGTAGTCGCCAGCCAGTATGGAGAAGTAGCGAATAAATCGCAGATGAGTCAACGAGTTGAGTAAAAATTTGCAAAGAGAGGGAATGTATATGTAACTCAACTAATATTGTAAGTTCTGTATAAATTTTACAATTTTTATTGTGCATATTAATGCTGCTCTTCAAAAATAGTTATAAAAGGAAAGCCTGTGGAACTCTCTCCATTTGCTGTTCAATTTTCTTCTTTTGAACGATACGAAATGAACCGAAATAAAAATATTAATAATATGGCATATCTTTCGATCAGTTTTCGACACTATCGATTGCAAGACATTTCATCTTTTTGATCTACTTGTTTATTTTTACTTTAGATTGACCTGTTTTATATGTGTATTTTTACATATATAATAATATATAATGGGAAATCTGAATTCGTGAATAATTTAACTAAATAATACATTTCGATATTGTATATAATGAATTTGATTGATTGGTTTGTGTTCGATTTGCAGCTGAAGAGATCTGCCACATGGATAGCAGCGACGACGACGCGGACAGCGGCAAGTCTATACCGCGTCCCATCTACGAGGCGACGTCTGCCATTGACAGCCCTCCGCCGCATCTGCTGTTGGCCGTTGGCCAGGAGAAGGATGCAGTAATAAGCAACAAGCGATTGAAATATGTGGTCAGCGCTCCACCTGACTCGGCCAGTGGCGGCAACAGCACAGGCTCCTCCAACTCCAATGCTTGGCCAGTTTTGGCAGCGACACCAGTTGGCTCCGGCTCTAGTTCCGGCCACGCTTCGCTTACCATGAAGCTAACGAAAGTGGTAACGTCGACCCTTACGCCACAGCCGAATGCATTAAAGCCGAGTACATCGACGCCCAAGATGGAGGAGAACAAGGTGCGTGTGCCAAAGGAAATGATTGCCCTGCAGCGTTCACACAACGAGTCCGAGGTGCTCACCGGCTACGTGTCGGAGAGCTCCAAGCTGAAGCGGCGCAAATCACGGGCTGTCCTCAAACAGCCCGCGGCGATGGTTGAGCACTCATCGACGGGCTCGTCGGAGTCGAGCAGAGGGCGAGCCAGAGGAGGCAGACTGACGCGCAGCAAAAGCATACCGGCACCCAGACAGGACTCGGATGCGGAGCGGGAGTGGTACGAGGATTCGGAGCTGATGTTGAATAAATCGAAGAATCGCACCTATTGGATGGCATACGACAATGATGTCGATCTGAGTGCGAGCGAGGAGAGCAATGGTAATCGACGAAGTGGCCGCCACAATTTTCGATCACGTAGCAAGACTGTCTCGCGGAGCAGCGAGGAGCACCAGCCACGCCGTGGCAATCTGCGCTCCGAGAACGAGGAGTTCGCTCGGAAGCGGATGGCCTTCCTCGAACGCTACATCAACGACACGGTAGACCCTGAGCAGCAGGAGCAGGACTATCAACAGATAGCTAAAGATGACAGTGCTGAGTGGCAAACCAATTCGACAGTGGACACGGATACCAATCTCTCCCTCTTCTCGGATGCCAGCGAGTCAAAGATAGTAGCGAATGCATCAAATGATGGCGAGGCGATTAACAAACGCCTCAACGAAATTTGGCAAGCACCCACAAGGGTAAGTTATCGATTATCGATAATCGATAATTGTTTGATTGCCAGCATTGTATTTGTACTGCCATTTCACAGGTTGGCTGGGATCCGTTCTGCTGGAAGTGTCGTGGATGCGGCAAGGTGATGCCCTGCTCCAAATGCCTCCGTTCGTTTCATACGTACTGCGTTCGGCCGGCATCGACGAAGTTCGACAGCTCGTGGAAGTGTCCCGAATGTGTGCTCGTCGAGAGTGCGCCCAAGCGGTAAATGATAATTGAAATGACTGTAAATCATCATCTACATACATATATCATCAAGCTGCATTTGTTTGTTTCATCAGGTCACGTCGCAACGATGTATCCGTCGATCTGCTCAGTCAACTGCTCAAATATGCGCTCGAGCGCATGAAGCATATTCGTGGGGTAAGTAATAAATATAGACAGGAATTCGTTTTCATATGTTTCTATGTACATACATGTACATATGTATATGTATAGATAGTTACGAGTTCACAACAGTTTTCATTATCTGCTCAGTCCATGTGCGTTTACTTGTCAATTTATAAAATCACGCGAAATTTTGTGCTCACACAACGAGCTACAGGTATAGGTGTGTATTTGCATTAGTATTGACATATATTTGTGTACAAATATGTAAATAAATATGTACAAATGTATATGCATCAGGTCTTAAGTTAGCGCTCTCTCTCTCTCTCTCTCTCTGGCACTTACGTGCTCTGTTTGCTTTGCTCATCCTCTCGCTCTCTCTGTCTCTCTCTTGGCGACGTATAACTGTATAGACACCTGAGAAGTCTCGTTCTCGTTGCTTTTGCTGAGTGAGAAAGAGAGACTCCCTCGTCATAAGTTTGTCTGTATGTATGTATAATCTCAATTGTAACTAAATATTTACATATTTATTGTCAGATGTAACGACTAAAATAATCCTATACGCCCGAGGTTGACTGGCTCCAATGAGAATATATTAATATACTTATATATATATGTGTATGTGTGTGTGTGAGTGTGTGTGTGCGTGCGTGCACTTAAATTGAGTTCACTTCGTTCAGTTTCTTAACTTATCAGCATTAGGCAGCTGAATAAAATAAGAATCACATTCGATGTACAATTCAGTAGCTTTATTTTTTGTGCTTACAACATAGATGGAAATAAGTATGTAGAACATTTGTTAATTCGTATCTACATATTAATGAGCACACATTTAATCAAATATTTGTACATATATATATGTATGTACATCCTGTGTATATCGTCGTCAACTTCTTTTGAGAGCAACTTCTTTTTTGTTTTCTTACTAATTAGACTGAATACATTATGTATTAAACACAAATTGAATTCTGTTTATTCACAATTCTTTGTTTGTAAAATGAATTTTATTTTAAATAATGTGCGCATATTTGTAAATAGATTCATATTTATACATGCATATATGAATGTTTACAAATACATAAACATTTCTCTGCACATTTTTACACAACTTTATTGGAGGCTTAACTTATTATTTGGGGCATTTGTTTTCCAGCTGTGGATGAGCACAATATTATGCTTAGACATGAAGCAGCCAGCGACTACTTCTCTACATCGCATCGGTTAGCCAAAAGCTCCATAAAATATCTAATTAATGCTACCGCCCCTGTTTCGTTTGTTCTACAAAATATGCTAAAAATGTGCGAGGAATTAATTAATTCATTTAATGTTACTGCCGTCGGCTACCAGAGCGCATTAAAAACAATTACAAAGTCCAAACCGCAGACAAATGGACATGTAATTGTGCATACATCTGTACATACATACATACATACATACATACATACATACATATACATTTATATTCATATACACATATTCATTAATGCTTACAACTGTACATTCATGCTGTAAAAAAAGAATTCATGTATGTAACACAGCTGTGTTCATATTGCTTTTGCTGCGAATGGCAACAGGAAGAAAAAAAATGAAAAGAGAATCAACCTCAACCAAATCAGAGAAGCAGTGAGTCAAGCAGAAAAGAATTTAGCAACAGCAGCCTCAAGCAACAGCAGAAGAGGTGATGGTGGTGGTGGTGGTGTGATGGAACGACGACGCGTCGTCGTCAATCGCGCAATTTATATTTGCCTGACATTGCCGCCTCTGCTTCTGCTTCGCTCGCTTTGTAATTTGAGGTTAGTTACGCTCACACACAGCGAGGCATTCGGTTCGATTGTTAAAACACATTGGTGTGAGAGAGAGTACATACTAGCATTTGACCGCCTCTTGCTCTCGCTCTTGGTCTTAATGGTTGTGTTGTGTCGCTCTCTGCTGCGTCGTTATTGCTGTTTGTATATTGCTGCTTGTCAAACTTGTTTGTTTACAATGGAAATGGCGCAGCTCTCTTCACCGCTCTCTTAGACGGCGGCGAATTCGTGAAACTCTCATTTACTCTTCGTTGTCGCTCTTTTCATTTGCAGGTATACAAACTGCGTGCTCCACAGGATGTCTTGCCCGACACTTACAAGAAATACTTTGTGAATCCGGTGAACTTTGAAAATTTGTGGGAACGCATCAAAAATCGCGCATTTCGCAGCACCGATGAGTTCCTCAGCGAAGTCAAGTGGATGCAACACAATGCGCTTATATTAGAAGATGGCGGTAAGTTATTTTTTTTATTTGATTTTTACTCCAGTCAGCTTATGTGTTTTTCCGGTTCGCCAGATACTAAAGTGGATCAAGCCTGCAAAGCGTTGGTAAAGGTCTGCCGGCAAGAGGCCAACGAGATTGACACCTGCGCCGAATGCTATTTGAATGCCAACTCCAGCGATGAGTGGTTCGTCAAGGTCTGCACACATCCGCATCTGCTGCTTTGGGCAAAATTGAAGGGTTTCCCATATTGGCCCGCCAAGGCAATGGGCTCTGGCCCAAATGCTGTGGTCAACGTACGTTTCTTTGGCAAACACGATCGGGCCAATGTGCCAGTGAAAGATTGCTTCCTTTACTCGGCAAAGGATCCCAACACACAGACAAGCAGACGATCAGCTCGGGATTTGGCCGATTGTATACGTGAGGTTGAGGTGCACATTGAGCACATACGGAGTAAAATTGGCAGTTTCAACTATGCACCATATCGCCAACACTACGATCCGCTAGAGGAGCAGCAGCAGCTGGAGGCAATGATGCCCGGCGTGCATGATGCCATCAATAGGCAGCTGGCCCCGGCTAACAAGACGCCTCTGCAATTTCTCATTCGAAAAACGGCTGGTGACAAGCTCTCCATTGTCAAGAAAACAAAGGCCACCGAGTCGGGCAACGAATCCGATCAGTCCGGCAGTCCCATAAAGAAAAGCACACCGCAAGATATTGAGCCAAAGCTACCGCCACCGGCACCATTACCAATACCGCCCAGCTCTGATCATGCCAAGCCGAAGAGTAACAACTACGAGGTGATACCCCGAGCAGGCGATGCTCTCCGAGAATCCCGTGGTTGCACCGTCGTGCTGAAGCGCAAATCCATGGAAACGTGTAAGGCAATGGTCAAGATGAAGCCCCTGCCAACGCAGGTGTCCGATGTGATGGGGTCAGTAAGCAAGCGCAAACATTCCGATGCCAGCAGCGAGACGAGCCAACAGAGCACCTCAGCAGCAGAGCACAAGCGACGCAAGCAGGCGCGCAAACAGGCCCAAGAGGAGCTGCAACAGACTATGGACAAGGATAAGGCTAGAGAAACTCAAACTGAAACCAAAACGGATGCGAAAACGAAAATGGAACAGCCAAAAGCGGATGCGAAAACGAAAATGGAACAGCCAAAAGCGGAGACGGAAAAAGCAACCGCCGTTGAAGCTGCAGCGGACGAAGCAAGCCAATTGGTTGTCTCCGTTGTGGAGCTGGTTCGAAGGCGCCAAGGCGTGACTATAATCAAGATACCAAGGGATCAGCAACAGCAAACGCAACAGCAGCAGCAAACGCAACAGCAGCCACAGCAGAAGCAAACGCAACAGCAGCAGCAACAATCGCAACAGCAGCAGCAGTTGCAACAGCAGCAGCAGTCGCAGCAGCAGCAACAAGAACAGCAGCCTCAGCAGCAGCAGCAAACAACAGCTGCAAAGCCAAGTAGTAAAGTGGACTCCAGCGAGCAGCCAGCAATCAATGCAACGATGGCCAAACAGCGGGCAGTTGAGCGACAACACAAGCAGCTGATTAGCCGAGTGGTGCCGTTTGTGGAGATCAAAAAGGAGGTGTTGTCGGAGCCAGAGGAAAGTGAGGATGCGCCTATCGCTGATGCGTTGCAGCCACTGCCCGCCGATGAGGAACAGCAACAAGTAGCAGCAGCAGCAGCAATAGCACCACCACCCCCACCACCACAACAGCAACTTAATCCACCGGCCGAATTGGAAAGCAGTGCAACTGCATTCACACCACCGCCGGAGCCAAACAATTTTGTGACCTGTGAAGCAGCAACTGCACCTGAAATTCAAATCAAAGAAGAAATGTTTAGCGAGGAGGAAATGGAGACGGAGTCGAATTCGAATTCGAATGCGCAGCCGGAGCCACAAATCGCAGTCATCAATCAACCTGAGCCTGAGCCTGAACTAGAGCGAAAGCTAGAATCAGTTGCTATGCCGCCACCTGCATTACCATGTCGGGCAGAGACGCAACCACAGGCTGCTGTTGCAAGTGCAGCATATGCCACAATTGGAGTCGGAGCATCGCCCGTGGAGACGCCTGCCAGCGATGAATTTGTTCGCTTCGTGGGCGACACAACCATACAGAGATTGAGCCAGAAGCAGATGCCAAAGACAATGCCAGAGACTCAGACTCAGACGCAGACACAGCCACCGACACAGACAACGACACCGACAACGAAACGCAACACGTTAAGGGGTGTGCCGTATGGACCCTTGCCGGCAGCTGCACATTCAACGACACCACCACCAGAACAACCACCGTTGCCATTGGCATCACAATCACCCAAACCAGCGACGAGTTGCACCATCAGCCGGACGTCGCCCAAGGCACAGGTACAGAAACTGCCAATGGCTATAAAACACGACAAATCGGCAAATTCGCCGATAGCAGCAACAGCAGCAGTACCGCCACAAACACCCACATCAAGTCTGCTCAAGTCCAACATGGTGGTCATACCCATGGATCCACGCAACACAAATGGAGGCATCGGCGGCAACAGCAGCTCCTCGAGCTGCCTCGGCAGCAACGGCAGCAATCTGATCAGCTCCAATCTGATGACGATACCTGTGCCGCCATTGCGAGCAGTCTCCAAGAATACGCTGCAAAGCACAACCGGCGGATTCACAGGCAACGCACCGTTGCCGACATTCAGCAGTATCTTGAAGCCACCACCATTGGCCGGACTCACAACGATGACATCGACAACAGCAGCACCCAGATCCTCAAGCAGCACAGAAACTGTCGGGTTGCTGGCGAGTGTACTAAATGGTCTGCCCAGTGATACGCTGATCAGTGAGACGCCCGCACCAACAGCTGAACCGGTCGCTCCAACGCCTTTCAGTGAGCTACTAATGCGCTCCGGACCACCCAAGTTGACGATGCGACCCTGCGGTCCGCTGCACTCAGATGGCTCAAGCATCTATCCGGCACAAGCCGGACCACTCTCAACCCGCCTAAAGGATAATGCGCACAAGGTAAGCTTATTTTGAGTGGAGTTTCCTATAATAACAACTGACTAATACTGTTTATTTATTTATCATGTGCTGCAGATTACGGACTATTTTATTTCCGTCATCGAGGACACGTTGAGTGATCTGGGCGGTAGCGGCGAGGCGAGTGTGCAGCAGGCTCGTATTGCCAGCTTGACGCTGGAGAACGAGCGCATCAAGCTGCATTACGAACGCCAGTTGGCGGACATGCAGCGCTCCACGGAGGTAATGATCGCCGAGATACGCAAAACGCTGGAGCAGGAGAACAAGCGTGTCATCAGCGAGCTGCGACAGCACAGCACCCTGGAACGGATGCGAGCTGTGGAGGATGCCAAGAAGAAGCAGTGGTGTGCGAATTGTATGCGCGAGGCGCAACTCTACTGTTGCTGGAACACCTCATATTGTGATTATCCCTGCCAGCAGATGCACTGGCAGCGTCACTCAACCAGCTGCAGTCAGAAGGCCACGCTGATGACGCAACCACTGACACAAAGCCCCCAGTCGCTATTGCAGGCGCCGCTGGCTAACACGCACACGAATGCAAATGCCACAAGCACTGTCACCAGTTCTAGCCAACAAATGAACAATAGGCTGGCAACGGCAACGGCAACGGCAACTGCTCCCGCCACCGTTGTTGGCCCTGGCGAAAAGTGGACGCATCCATCGATGGTATCGTTGATTAATCAGTCGACGGCGCCGCCGCCCGCCGAGGTGCTCAAGCTGCCGAACAATACTTTCCTGCGCCCAGTGCCGCTGCCCTCAGCAATGCCAGCAGCCACGAGCAGCAGCAGCCACACCAACACCACCAACAACACCATTGTCAGCCCAGTCACACTGATATCGCCGTCGACGTCGACGCATCATCACAACACGATTATGACGGGTCAACAGCGCAACAACATGAGCTACGGCAACAAGCAGACGCAACGGATTGTCGTGCCACGCTATAATATACCCGTGAGTCGCAACTATTATGTTAGTAATTTGTTCAAGTTTAGTTTTTGTTCAGAGAGAAAGCAAATTTGTATCATAATCAATGCTAGAGTCGAATGAGAGCAAGTGAAACAATAATTAAAATGAATTCCACAATGTAATGGAGTATATAACGCTTACATTGGTTATCAAGGTATTAGCTTATCGTCAGTAGTGTTATCTTAGGCATAATGAAATAATGTTAAATACAATATTAATCGGAATTTTCAAAAAATTTCAGTTGCCCATCACTGTTGGCAACAATGCGCCCTTTGCTCACATATCGGAACAGCATCATCGGCATGTTGCAAAATCGACGTCACGGGGATCGCAGCCCAACAGTCGAGCACGAAATGCCAACAACAATTCGAACAACAACAACCACATAAACAACAACAACAGCAGCAGTAACAACAACAACAACGGCAGCAACAGCGCTCAGGCCATGCGTCTCAATCAACTTAACAACGTTTACCAACAGTGAGTTTTGGATCTATCTATAAATGAAGCATAATTTATGTTCTCACCATTTAGAATATTAACATTAAAATAATGCTATATTTTCAGGTAATTTCGGTATGATTTTAAATCCTATCGATAAGTGTGAATTACGTATTCAGAGGTTAAATTAAAATAACTACAATAATATTAAATTAGTATATAATTTGAAAGGCATCGCTGCTTTTATTATATTCATTAAATTAAATGGCTCACAAAGCGTTAATTATGTAAACCATAAGATGGACTTCAATTTACATAATGATGCTTAATGATTACAAGTAAACATTTAGTTCTTAATAGCCAATAAGTTAACCCATGTGTACATTCATTGCATATATCATCGCATCAAACTTTACAACGGTAAACATACATACTTACATGGATAAGTAGCTATATAGAATATAGATCTAAGCTGGGTAAAATGAAGACATGTCTCAACGATCTTTAAAACAATAAAACACAATTCAATTTGAAAACATTCAAATAAAATGCCTTTTCTTCCAAATTGATATGGATATTGTTATGAAATATATTTTTGAGTTCGAAGTGAGCAATGCTATCGATCGGCTTTCAAGGATGATCCAATGATTCTTGAATGCAGTTAGATAGAGTAGGTCCTTGGGTTAGAGGTAAGCCCGTCGCCCCTAAGAGTATACCTCACTTTTGAAAAGTTCTCCAATTCAAAGCATATTTACATTCATTTTCTGAAACTCTCACGTCGATAGATATCAATAAAATGTTAAACAATAAACATGTTAAAAACAATAAATTAGCTTTGAAACATTAAAATGATGTCAGTTTTATTAGTTCAACAAACACCAATAACAACGAAAACATTCAAAATCTTGAAATGATATCAATCGATGTCCAATTTTTTGAAATTTCCCTCGATACCAAACAGATTTGAGGCGCTCTTTGGCTTGCCGGGTCTCAGTGTTTCATTCACCTGATGACGCTTCTCGTATTCCAACATTTGCTTGCGATTATCCATTAACTTCTTGTAATATAATTCTGAAAACGATTATGTATATGTTTTATGGATTCGTATATAGATATGATATTTGAGGGCTTACCTTTAGCCACACTGATCTCTTCAAGTGGACCACCGTAATCCTTGGGCAATAACTCGCGCGGCACAAATTTGAAGAACTCGTTAATATCGCTGTGCATGTAGAGAATGCTGGTAAGTTCCTTTTTCATGAATGGACTCATCAGTGCCATTATCTTGTCCATGAAGGGCACAATGTTGATGAAATGAAAGCCAATTAGGCGTATGGCCGCAGCTTCCTGTGTGATAAGATCTGCCTTGAATATACTCATTGCACAGCAATTGAAATCTTACCTGTAAATAGTAGAGGAACTTCTTCATTTGCAGCAATCCAATGCGCGCCACGTGACCCAAGGAGCAGCCCTTAAGATCTATAACAATTATATGGCCCGGCTGTATGCCATCCTCGTACATCCAATAATCGAATACCATGCAATAGCTGCAAATGAATATCACATAACGCGTATTTAGTATTACGTATTGTATTCAAATTCACTTATTTAATTACCAACGATTAAACAGTCAATTACTTTTCGCAATCGAAATGTGTATGAATCTGTCGGATGCATCACTCTATCTACATGTGTGAAATGTATCTGTATCTGTATCTGAATCTGGACACGTCAAAATTTGCGGTGCGTGTTTTATTTTTTTTTCAGTTACTCAGACGTTTTTAGTTGTAAATGACTTTAGACACTTTGATCTTTAATATTCACTTGATTTGTGACCTTTTTATTTTCACTTGTCATAATTATGACGAGCAAAAATTGAAATTAACTTGTCAGTTGCACGAAGTCCATTAGTGGCTTATAATTAGTACATATAAATGTTATACAACACTTAAGATATACGACCAATTAAGCCTTAACTTTTAATCTACAGAAAGCTATGACAGTGCAATTAATTAGTTGTTCATTTAATTCATGTTTTTTAATGGGGTGTTCTACCTATTATATAGATAAAATGCTTGTATTAAAATGTACTGCAAGAAATGTTAATTTTAAATGTAGTAAATTATTTAGTATTTTTAAACACATGGTTCAATTTTATTTCGGTTGACAATAGATAAGTTGTAATTATACTACTAAATCATCACGTTTGTCAGGGTATTTAATATTCCTCAGAAAATAGCTGATTTTATATTGACTTGTTTGATTTCGGTTGAAAAGATATGAGAACTGGTTATGCCGTTGGAAAGAGACTTTTTAAATTGGAACATATGTTTTCGTATTTCATTGTTTATCTTTATTACTTCCCACTAACTCGGTCACCTCAAAAATGATTGGAAATGTGCACTTGCGATGCGAGTTTCCACCTTTTTTCATACGCTCCACATCCGATGTGTGTTTATAGATTTGCAGCTGATTGACTTAATGTAGAGTCGGTTAATCTCGACTAGAGCTCTACTTACAGTTTCATGACGTCGGCGTAATTGAAATTCGATGTGTTCAGATCGTCCAGTTTGCCCACAATAACACGATAACCCTCTGGCGTGGCACCTGGCAGTGGAACAATCGCTCTAAAATTGGATATTGGCATAAAAATCTGCAACAATCGCAAACAACAACAACAAGATGTGATTACTTACACCGTTTTCATGGCGCGCTTCAGCTCATTGCTGTCGATGTCCAGATTCACAAAGAAATCATCGACATGGGTGCGTGCCGTTAGATTTGTGTCCAGCACCTGTTTGGCCATTTCCATGCTATATTTGCAGGCATGAAAGAAATGCAGCGCCTCCGCCTCGGAAAACTGGGCGGAGATGTGCGGTTGCGCCTGTATCCAATCGACTAGCTTTAACACCTCCGTTCGCTTGATCTCTGGGAAGCGGGCATATTGCTCATCCAGATCGGCTTCCTTCATTCTTAACTTTGAACTTCGTTTACAGTTGATGGGCGAGCAGCAAATATATTGTTGTCTGTGCAGCTGAAAACGCGTTTTCCGCTATCAACGTTCGGCACTCGAATGAAATTGAAACTGTTTTTGCTTTCGCAAGTGAAACTGGTTGTCTTTTCCCGGCAGCAGTTGCTGCTGCTGCTGTTGCTGTTGCTGTTGCTGCTGCTGATGTTGTTGCTGTTTAATTCGGTATGCAATTTTCAACTGCTGTTGCGGAAAACTGCTAGTGGCTTTCATTTTGTTGTTGCCTGGCTGCCTGCCCCGCCTCCCGCTCACTGTCTCCGTTCACCGATCATTTCATTTCACTTCCAACAAACACTTGCGTGAAAATTCAAGTTTTTCCGTTTGTCTTTTTTTTTTTGTTGCCTCTTCATTATTATTACTTTTTGGTTGTGCAACATCTGATTGTTAGCTTGCGCGACTGGGGCGGTCAACAAGCTCAGCTTGTGTTGTTATTATTTATCATAACCCATTATAAACGCATAGCGTGTGCTGCTTTCGGCCCTGAAGCTGTCACATCTACAACTCCTATCATTTTGTCGCAACAGATCAGTGCATAATCTGACTTAAGTTGATGAAGTTGTGTCAAAAAGATGCATATTTTTGTGAAGGAATTCTTACAATAATTAAGTCTTAATTGTTTACTTCTTAACAATATAATAATAACTGTTTAGCATTTAACGAATAATTGTGTATAAATTTCATGAAAAATATAATAAAATTAAATACTTATTATTATTGTATATTTCATAAAATTTCCATTCTTGACTTAATATATTATATTTTTTATATATTTCTTTTTACTCATGCGTTTGACTCATGGAAATTAAACTCATTTAAAAAGAGTTATCTGATTTTGACTCATTTGCATCAGATGAATCCATAATCTTTGAATGCAGTTCAATAGATTAGGTCCTTTCAATTCTAACGCAATATGTTCTTCGAGAGTTTGCAAGGATAAAGCCGAGTTAAAGTAATTCTTCTCGTTACCGGCGTGCCCCTAAAAGTATGCCACAATTGTTTCCTTCACATTTTATTTCCCAATCGACCAACTAAAGAAGAGCAGTTGAGATTTGTAACTTGATTTGTGTGTTAAGCACTTTGTGTCCTTGCTTAAGTACAAGGCATACATAATTTAATATTCTACATTTACTATACATTTCTTAGCCATGACTTTGACTTTCTGTCTTAAAAGTGAAATGCATAAATGATTACAAATCAAACATGTCATATAACTATATATGTATATATATATGTAAATATTTTTTTTCTTTTTGGATGCTTTTATTTTGGCTTATGATTAATTGCTAGGCAACATTATGTCACGTTAAGTATTTTCATTTGAGATAAGCTAAGCCTTAGGCTATTCAGGCTATTTGCTGATAGTTTAAATATGAGATCCGAGAATACAAATATCGATGGCAAAAGAATTCAATTCAAAATATAACAATGATTTGAAAAAATATATAGATATGTAGTCTCTTTTAGCCTTGAAAGTTTGTTAGAATAAGTGTGTGATTAAGTAAAAAGGTTAATGATTTTTTTTTAATTCTTGGCTTATATTGATTTCTAGGGCGCTAAGGAGAGATTGCCATTTTTGCCAAGTATTCATTTATATAACTATAGAGTTGGTCAGATTTTTGTTTAAAAATAAAATAAAAATGCCAAAAATTTCTTTGTTGTATAAATTTGTTTATTTTTTAATAGAATTCCCAAAAATAACATTCACATTATTTTGTAGAAGCCCCTGAGGACGTCTAAGTGTATCAGAGACACCTTTGAAATGTTTCTATTGACTTATGGTTGGATGGAGTAGAAGCAGCGCCCTGCATGCATATTCCCGCTTACGGTTGCCAACGGCCCCATTCTGCAGACAAACTTTTGACATTTTGCCAAAGCAAGACGAAATCGCAGTCAATGCCACAGTGCCACAAAGTGGTTGAAAGACGGGCAGCCAGCGGTTGCCAGGTACTCGGCTGAGTTTGCCAGCTACAAGCTTCGGGCTGGGCTCAGCAGCTGTTGCGTTGCCACGAACCTGTCGCTGCCTCTGCCTCAGCCTCAGCCACAGCCTCAGCCTCAGCCACTGCCACTGCTGTTGCTGTGGCAGAGTCTAAAATCAGCCAGCCTGTGTGTCTGTGTGTGTGTGCCACTTTGGCGTGTCTGAAATTCCAACGGATTAGAAGTCGCGCGTAAAGAGCAAACGGCATTTGCAAACCAGTTTGGCGAACGGATGAGGCCTTGCAGATCTGGGGATCGCTGCACAGGTGTCTGCTTCAAGCAGAAATTAATTAACACACTTCGAAAAGATGGGGAGCTTTAGGTTCTGACTTCTGACTGACATGAGTCACTTGCTCCACCAGCTACTGGTCTGACCCCAAAAAAAAAAAACAAATATAAAAATAAAAATAAAAACCAATAGCTGATGACAACATTATTTTGTGTTTCTTTTTCATTGTTGCTGTTGGCAAACGTGTCTCGTTTAAAGTTGCCGTCATGCAGCGGATACCTCCACTCCTCTCCCTCGTCTCCTGTCTCCTTGTTGGGCTTTTCGCGCACGCCGTTGTCCTCCTTTTAGGCAGACACATTGCTGTTGTTATTGTTATCGTTGTTGCTGTTGTTGCGGGTCACATTGCCATTTTTCACGCATTTGACTGCGTTACTTAACCTCAATTTGCCTGGCGACGTGCATCAAGTTGCCCCCGCTGCCCCCCGCTGCCCCCACTGGTCGTTTCCGTTGTATGCCCCAGCTGAGACGATGGCGACAAATGAAGTTGTCGCATTAACTTTGCATATGTGCCCCGTTTCCCCGCAACACACTTGTAAATCTTGCCTTACATTTAGCCACTGGTTTTGCTGCTCTCGACAATTGCAGTTGCCGACAACGGATCCTGTCCACCCGCTTCCCCTCTCCCGCTGTCTCTCTGTCTTTTTGTGAGGCTCTCACTCTGATTGTTCAATTGAATTGGCGCGGCAACCTGTCTGACTCATTTGTATGGGTTGCCCTACGCGAACAATGGGGTCTCCACTGGCTGAGACTGGCAATGCTGCCACGCGTTTGCCGCTCGCCGGCTCTCTATTAGTGCTATTCCCATTCGATTCTGATTCCCATTTCGACCTCTCTCTCTCTCCCCCCCTCTCTCTCACTCTGTCTCTCGCTCTCTTTCGAGCGAAACTCGTTTGCGCATGCGCGCCACACATTTTTTTTGTTTTTTGTGACTTTTTCTGTTATTTTAGCGGTTTTTGTTTTGATTTCTGATTGCCGTTCGATCGTCGTTTTTTGTGGTTATAGTTGCAGTTTTTGTAGCTGTTGTTGTTGTTGTTGTTGATGTTGTTGTTATTGCTGTTATTTACCTTGATTTACGGTGGCAAGTGCCACTCGACAAATTGACTTTTATTTGCTTGGTTTTTTTTTATATTTAGCTCTTCTGTCTTGCTTTTTTGTGTGCGACTTCCTTTGAGTTGGCTTTGGGTTTTTGTTAAAAAAAAACTTGAACAATGATATTTGGTGAATATTTCGTTCATATAAATGAAATGGGAAAACTATTGGGAACCTTTGTGAGTTCAAATATGAATTCAGTTATTCAATTATTGTCTTCTTCAACCAAAAGTCAATTTGTTTTTATGCCCTGCCGCAAAGCGGAAATTGAACGCTTAACACACCCCGAGCAGAGAGCCACAATGAAAACAATTAAATTTACATAGTTGCTGGCAACAGGCAACCGAAATTAGAAACCAGCAACAGTTGATTGCACTGGCATAGGGCTAAAAAGCCAAAACACGACAAAGCACAAAATAAGGAAAACATTCAAAATACACAATATAAATAAATAAAATAAAGCCCGTGCATTTACACGCTCGTTGGCATCCTGTTTCATGCAACAGCAAGCAACAGGATGCCCACGAAATTAATGCCAAACACTCAGCACACTCGGCAAGCCTGAAGCTAGGGTTCGTCCAGATCGCTCAGGAGTAACAATAGCAGCCAATTGCCACTCAGATTGTTAATAAAACAAATGAAAAGCTGCCAACGCACCGACCTTTCGATACCCGCACCTAAGTTGAGTAAACTTTATATATATACAAATAAAACTGGGCTCAAGAGGAAGCTATGAATATTATTAACTCAAGTGTTGCAGATGTTAATATTTGCCATTAACTCTAATCCCGATAAAATAATCCCTATTAGAGCCAAAAAATAATAAAGCACTTTTATGTTAAAAGTTTTGTATATAATTTATAAAAATCGGAAGAAAGTTATATATATATATAGGATTTTGGTGATGATATCTATTGTCTGAATACATCAAGAGAAACTGCAAAAGTCTCATTAATAACTGAGCAATATTAAAACAAAAATATGCATATATATAAAGTATATTTCCTTGGATTATGGCTAGATGGAGCTCAACTCAACTTGCTCGTTAATAATCACTCAATCAAAGATGCTTTCCTACACAGAGTATATACATCGATCAAAGCTGGTCAGATCTGTGCAAGCTGCAACAACTCAATGCATATCTCTTGGTGTAGGTATCAAAAGTAAAATCAACAAAAGAAGAACGCGCCGGGCAAAAGCCCCGTCGCCGATTCGACTGTGACGTACCGGGAATGTGGACTGCAGGCTGAGGCAGACAAAAGGGAAGGCCCAAGTGCGAGTGAGTGATAAAGCGGCCTTTTAGGGGAGCGTCAGAGGATCACAAAAGACGCACAGCGCTGCCAAAGAAGAAGCAACAACAAGAATGAAGAAAAAACATGAATGCATTTCAAAATAATTGTCTGCAGTCAGGACGAAAGTCAGAAACAGAGTCAGGGTCTGCCTTGGCTAAGGGGAGATGAACGGGAGAACAAAGGGAAGAGGGAAAGCGAGAGAGAGAGAGGGGGGTGATGGGGGGTAGGCAGTGTTTGTTTGCGCGCAGTGGTGCGACTCCGAAATCCTTGAGAGAAGCGCGGAACACCTGATGACGATGATGAGTCCGACACCTGAGCCACCATCTCCAGTCAAAAAGGCAGCGAACCTCGGCACTCGAAACGAACGTTACAAACTACAACAAAAAAGAAATGATAAT